GATTAAGTTCAAAAATTTGGTTGAAGTTGACACGAAACTCACTTTTCCATAATTTATTTTCATTCTTTAAACCAAATTCTAACATTAACAAGAGTACTGATATGCACCTTTGCCCTTCAATTTTGGCTCCTAAGATCTCCGTCTCGTTTAAGAGCTCTCATATTTCTCATGCGCTCTTTCCCTCGGCCAGGATAAGAATATTCCGAAAGATGACGAATAATTTAATCTTTATATAGAAAGCATTATAAAAGAAAGACATTGCTAGAGTCCTATTGGGGTTGAGAAAAGGCACATGGTTATGCTGAAGTGGATGCTTCAATGCTATAAAACAACTACACAAATCACTAGAGGAATATGCTGCAATTTTGATACCTGCATTACTTAGTGGCAAAACCATTTACAATCCATTGGGTTATATCTATATAAAATATCATTGGACAAATTAAGAAGACAAAAGGAGGCCATGGTATTTGCTGATTAGGTTTCACAAAATTAAAATTATTTTTTAAGTGTTTGAACCTATCAAGGGGCAACTAAATTAATAGAATATATATATTTAGGGTGGGTTTTTAATGGATTTTATTTATTTAGTCCCTAATAAAGGAGTGACTTTTGGACATGCTGAAAAATACTTTAATCATGACATCATCAAGGTTGAATTATTGGCATGGATGAATTAAACAATCTTAGGAAATTATTGTAATGGCCTTGTTTTTTTGCATTCATGATATAATAATACAAGTACTTTGATCGTAATATGTGTGTCCCATGTTGCTTGCTTAGCTCACTATACATATGTGACTAGTTTAGTGACAATATTTTATTCACTCATAGCCAAGTAGGTACAAATGAATAAGTTTAATTAAATAAAATTAGAACAAATTGATATGTAGTGAAAATATTATTAGTCGTGCTTCAATCATATATAGTTTGATGACATGTAACTAAAAAACACAAAGATGAAATACTCGCCGAAAATTCATTGATTCGGAGTGGGGTTTAGCTAGCCCCTAAGGCCGTCAGCCATGACTCACCTTCAAATGGTAATTTATCCGATCCTCGGATACTCATACTAAATATGCACGTTGTATGTTTTTTTCTAATGATTCTTTAAAATCCTCAAAAATTCAAACATGAAGCTTCCCCTAACTTCAAGAAAAGCTTATGGCTGTTCCTCGGTTTCTGAGAGAAGACACACACACAACCACACAAAACACACAATTAGGGCTGTGTGGCAAACTCCATTCAATAAAGCTAACAATTAGTTTAGTTTTATTAATATCATGTAGCATATGTGAGAATATATCTTCTAGTAAATTAATTCTATTAATTTAAGGATTTCAATTATTGTACCTAATCAATGTATAGAATTATTTATCTAAGAAATAAAGATTAACAATTTATCAATATATTACCCGAAAAGTATGAATGTAATGAAATGAGAAATATATTCATTATAAAATTATAAAATCATTTAGCTTTGTAGCACAGAAAAATCTTTCACCAAATTTACAATTTATTCAACTATTTCTTTTAAAAGTATGACGATAAATATAATTTTTAAAATTTTCTCCATAAAAATGGAAGGAGTTCCCTAGATTCCTAATAATCTTCAATACTTAATTACTGTGCTTAAGTAACTAAAGAAAACATTTAACAGAATGAATAAGTAGCTTGAAATAGGGCAATTTCAACTCATTTTCATTAAAAATTAATACCATGTGCAACTCCAATCAAATGATTTAAAAATTTAAGGATTCCTAATCAGTAAACAAGATATTCTTAGCCCATGTTGGATGAGTAAATCTAAGTGTACAGAATTGTGGTTGACAGAGGACTTA